TTAGGAAACCATAATGACTCACCTGCTTGGAAGGTTGTTCATGTTTCTCCTGCTGTGTGTACTGCTTGGATTATTTTTTCCTATTCAATGGCACACAAAAATGAAAGGTAAGACAGTGGATTATGAATTAACTGAATTCCAGTATGTGGGGTCAATCATGTTTATGTTCCACTAAAGTAAACATAAAAAAGTAGGTGAGTATGATACACAAGTGGAACTCTGTTAACATTGCACTCAGAGACAGAATAAGGGAATAAGACTAAGGATAAAAGAAAAGAATGGGAAACAAATGTGTTGAAATCAATGTCAAAACACATTCAGAAACAGTGAGCTGTATTGTGTCTTATAGTTCTGGGTTGATAGATGATAAGACCACAGAACGTACTATGGATTCTGCTGCTCATCATGTAGTTTTGAATAGCAAATTATGTGAACACTAAAGAAGCATTTACTCACAGACCTAATCATTGGTTTACGGATCTCACAAACAGAAGTGTTAGCAGCCACATACTTCCCTAAATTTGCAATGACCAATAGGCTTGCCATCCTCTCAACTCTAAAGCTTATGCCTGTTGTCCCTGAAATATACACATGCCCTTAAAACTTTCACAGCTTCTTTCTAAAACAAACATTAAAGAATACAATAAATGACTAGACAAAAGAAAAAAAGAAAATGATACAAGGCACTGTGGAAGGAAAATAAAGCCTCAGTAAATAAACAGGTTACAATTGTCATTAAGATTTAAAAAATCATTATTTCAATGATTATTTAAACATATAAAATTAATCATATCATTTTGAGAAATAATTTCAAGGCAAAAAAATTATATGAAAAGAAAACCCTTAAAAATAGTAAGCAAAAACAATATTAAATTCTAGATTCCCTCCCACCTAATTTGATGAAATCACCTAGTTGGTGATTTCATCAAATTATTTATAAACATTGAAATAGCTTTTGGTTCCTATCTTGACATCAACTATTTTCCCCTTGAAAACCGTATTCTAAGTATTTGAGTCAGCCTTGTTATATGACTTGGAATATATAAGGAAGCAATTCTTGCTTACATTTAGTCAAACTTCTATTCTGGATGCTTACTGCTGATTTTGGCATTTATTTATTTATTAAATTTATATAGCTGCCCTTCTCAGGAAGACTGATTCTGGGTGATCTTACCATAGCGTAACTCTGTGCGGCTTACAATTATATTAAAAAAACAACAAGTTAAAATCAAACCTTAAAATCCAAGACACATGAAGAGGGTAGGGGTAGTTTCCTATCCAGATGCAGGATTTTTCATTTCTTCCTGTTAATTTCTATCTTGTTCACTGGAACTCATTGCTCCAGGCTGTCTGGAGCTTTCTGAAATTTCTCTCATTCATCCAAAGCGTTAAATGCCCCTCCCCCAGCTTTATGACATCTGCAAACTTTTAAAAGTATCATTTCAGGTCTCTCATTCAAATAATTGATAATAAAAGTGAAATAAGAGAAGAGCAAAGTCACAGCTCTGTAGCCTTCTATTCAATGTGTAGGGGATGGGGGAGGCTGGAAGAAACCTGAAAAAGCCATATAAGTGTGGGAGGGAGTGAACCTGGGTGTCATGGTTCTGATAGATGAAACTGATCAAAAGAACTTCAAGGCAAAGATTTCTTCTTCAAAGAACATTTTATTTTGGAAACAAAGTATCGGCACTTACATAGTTGAACCCAAGACTAAAAATCCCTCCTCAGGCTACAAAGTAACAAGTTGTAATTCCCAACCCAAATTGCTGTCATAAATCACATTCACCTATGACTTCAAAATGCAGGCTCTCGTCCCAGCTTTACAGCCTGCCAAAACTCTTATCAGCTTTAACCTTGATTCTCATACAGATGCATTGTTATGGCTAGCTAAGAACTTCAGCACCCCTTCTCCCCCTCAGCTATCTCTCTAAACTAAAAGCGGCAATGGATACGAAATGAAAAAATGGTTCCCGTTCAAGTGTCACAACGCTGACATTCGGTCCCCCTTAAAAGAAAAGAGAAATCCTGCAAATCAAACAAAAGTTAGTAATTCCCCCTCGGTTTGTTCGGATATTTATCATAAAATTTATGTATGAGTCTATCAGCCTTTACATCAGTACACTTCACCCAGGTAACTTCTGACAATGGATACCCTTTCCATTGAACTAACTATTGCAATTTCCCTTTATACAATCTAGCATCAAGGATATGCTTCACTTTGTAATGAGTCTCCCCAGCTACGACAAGGGGACCAGGTGTTTTTTGGGGGGAGGGAGTCTTAGAGTAGAATCTCTGAAAGGCTTCAACAAACTACAGTGGAATACAGGCTGGATCTTTCCTAAAGATCGAGGGAGTTTTAGTTCCACAGTCACTGGGTTTAAAATCTGCACTATGGGAAAAGGTCCCAGGTATTTTGGCCCCAATTTCTTTCTAGGTTATTTGAGTCTTAAGTATTTTGTAGAAAGGTAAACCTTCTTCCTGACACGAAATGGCTTTTGAGGTACTCTTTTCTTATCTGCTTGTTTTTTGTTAAGACTTTGAGGCTTTCTTCAAAGCTTTCTTTGCATTGTCCCACACCTCTTTCCAAGCAGACACCCATTGATTTAAAATCTGAGAGGCAGGTGGTTCCTGGGGTATTCAGGCATCGGGATGAAATCCCTCCCTGTGGCTATTTTAAAAGGCGTAAATCCGGTACTGCTGTGTATAGTGTTGTTATAAACCACTTCAGCAAAACGGAGGAGATCAGTCCAATTTGTCTGTTGGTAATCCACATAGCATCTAAGATATTGTTCCACCATTGCGTTCGCTTTTTCAGCCACCCCATTTATAGACAGGTGAAAAGCCGATGACAGTCCTTGCGTGGAACCAATTAATTTTAAAAAAGTCCCTCCAGAACCTGGCCACAAACTGCACCCCGTTGGAAATTATTCGCTTTGGCGCACCGTGTAGTCTGTAAATAGTCCTTGCAGATTGGTGACTCTGGGGAGTTATCTGAGAAATAACTTGAGGTGGAGGTATAACAGAGTCTATGACTTACTCACATTGGCTTTTGTATTGGGGCAATCTGGAGAGGGCATCAGCTAAGAAATTCTTTCCACCCGGCGAATATTTCAGGGTGAAATTAAAACAATTAAAATATTGTACCCAGCGCACTTGTTTAGGTGACAGTTTATGGGGAGTTTTCAGTGCCTCTAAATTTTTGTGATCAGTCCATACTTCTAAAGGCACCTTGCTCCCTTCTAGGAAATGACGCCACATTAGCAAAGCTCATCTAGTAACAAAAGCTTCTTTCTCCCAAATTGCCCACCTCCTTTCTGTGTCGGTGAATTTTTTTGAAGTGTAAGCACAAGGCTGTAAAACTCCCTCACGATTCTTTTACAGGAGTACTGCCCCCATAGCTACATCGCTAGCCTCAGGTTGAATTACAAATTGCTCCTCTTGGTGAGTGTGTTTTAGAATTGGTTCAGCAGCGAATAGTCTTTTTAAATTCTCAAAAGCGGTTTTGCACTCCAACGATCAGTGCAGGGGGTGTCCTGGACATGGTTTCCCCCTATCCTTACCAGTTTTTAATAGTTCTGTTAGGGGCAAAGCGATCTCAGCAAATGAAGGAATGAACCAACAGTAAAAATTAGCAAATCCCAGGAAACTCTGGAGTTGTTCCCGCATCTTTGGGGGCTGCCATTCTATAACAGCCTTCACCTTAGCTGGATCCATTTCGATGCCTTCACTAGAAATTCTATAGCCCAAATAATCCAAACGTGTCTGATGGAATTCGTATTTAGAAAGTTTGGCATATTGCTTAACGTTCAGCAGTTTTTTTCAAAACTTCTCACACTAAACTTATTTACTCTGTCATAGTCTCTGTATAGATTAAGATGGCATCAAGATACACCAAAACCCCTTTGTATAAATGATCGTGTAGGACCTGGTTAATCAACTGCATGAACACAGCAGGTGTCCCTGTAATCCAAAAGGCATGACCTTAAACTGATAGCTACCCAGAGAGCTGTTGAAAGCAGTTTTCCATTCATCGCCTTCTCTAATTCNAGTTAACAAGTCTTTCATTAAGGGAAGGGGGTACATATTTTCCACACTCACCCTGTTAAGGCTCTTAAAATCCAGGCAGAGCCTAAGCAACCCATCTTTTTCCTCTTTAAATAGCACGGGGCCACTACCTTGGATTTGGCAGGCTTGATGAAACCTCTGGCTAAATTCTTGTCAATATACTGCCATAATTCTTCCATCTTAAGGGGGGTCATGACATACATCTTTGGCTTTGGTAACTTGGCCCCCGGCAGAATTTCAATGGCACAGTCATTTGTTCTGTGGGGAGGCAGGACATCACATTCTGCCTCACTAAACACTTCTGCTAAGTCCCGGTATTCGCTGGGAACAAGTGGCACTCCTGGCAGGGGAATTGTCACTATCTTTATCGGTTCAGATGGCGGGTTCGCTTCTTTGCTAATGTCATGGGAGGAGCTGGGAGGTAAGGGTCCTATGGGTAACCTCAAAGTTCTCATTCCGTTCTCCCACCATATAAAGGGTTTCCACTTGTCTAACCAAGCTAGCCCTAGAATCATTGCTTCAGTCATTTTCGGGCCCACCGCGAATAGAATGAATTCCCAATGTTCACCAACTTCTAGCCGTACTGGCTCCGTTAGGTGGGTAATTAAGGTTCCTCCCATTAAAGATCCATCTACCTGTTCAAATTTCATGGGGTTGGAGAGTTGCCTCACTCTGATGCCTAATTTTAGGACAATTGGAAGGCTGATTAGGCAGCGTGAACGCCCTGAGTCTACCAACACTCGCAAGTCCATTTGGGCTCCTGTCTTAGGAACTATAAACTTGGCAGATAGGGAAAAAGGTGGAACAGGCTGATTCACTATCTGGTCGTTCTCTCCCTCGTCATCATTGTCATATGAAGCAGGTGTGATGGCAGCTATATCTGGAGTCTCGACCTTGAGTAGGTGAGGTGACTTGGGTAGCTTCCGACACTGGGATTGCTGCCTGCACTAGGGAAAAGCACTTGCAGCCAGGCAGAAATACTTCCCACCCCACTTTCCAAGGCATAGCACAGCTCATGAGTTTTTTCCCCAAAGGCCAAAACCCTAAGAGATGGGCTCATGAATGCATGTGTGCCTTTATGTATTCATTCATAAGTTTACTTTCAAACATCCATGTTGGGGTTCCAGCTGGCTGGCTAATTGACCCACACCCTGGCACTTTCAAGGTTGTGCAGATGTCTGTAAGCAGCCTCATCCAACCTGGGCCCTTGCTTGCAAAAATAAACACCAGGAGTGCCTATTGGTGTGTAGGAGAAGAGTAGATAAGAACACAGCAAGCAAATGAGAAGTGGGAGGCAATGTTTGGAGACTGATAATTATTGCAGGCAGGTGGGTTATCAATCATTTGCCAAACCATAAGCTACAGTAAGTGGCATATCCTGGTGGGATTCTTGCCTGGAGTTTGGATTGGGAGCTTAGCTGGAGTGCTCAAAAGCAACAACGCTTAAGAGCAGAGCTTGGAGCTTGACCTGGAGCTTGGCAGCAACCAGAAAAGAGGCAACCACATTGAGGCAGCACCTCATCGCAACTAGCACAAGAACTTTTAGAAGGAGACAAAGGTTGTATGCCACTTAACAGACTTTGGGATTTTTGTTTGAAGACTATAAAGGGCTGTGTATTAAAGATGCACTTATATGACAATATCAATTTGTAAAGCCTAGAAGGGTGGAGATAACCCATAGTAATATCCTGTAATTGAAGAAGGTGTGTGCTACAATAAAGCATTGTGTATAGATCTGCTACACTGGGGTGTGTTCGGTCCCGCAAAAACAAAGTACCCTCACAAACTGGAATGCTTGGAAAATCCCCATGATTTCATTTCTTTTTCAGAGGAAATAGAACAGAACAGAACAGAATAGAATAGAATTCTTCATTGGCCAAGTGTGATTGGACATACAAGGAATTTATCTTCAGTGTATAGCTCTCTGTCTACACAAGCAATAAGTGATAAAGCATGATCATAGTCATCGTAAAAATACATTCATCATAAATTATAAAATACAACACTTAGTGATACTCAACAGAATGCTAAAATAAGCAATCAACATACAGTAAATCATACTAGGATACTAAATAAAACAATATAAATCATAAGATACAAGCAACAAAGTTATAGTCATAAATAGATTAGGAGATAGATAATAGGAAAGATGAGAAGAACAATAGTAATACAGCCTTACTAGATAGTTTGACAGTGTTGTGGGAATTAGTTGTTTGGTAGAGTGATGGTATGGGGGGAAAAACTGTCTTTGTGTCTAGTTGTGGCATGCAATGCCCTATAGCGTTGTTTTGAAGATAGAAGTTGAAACAGTTTATGTCCAGGATGTGAGGGGCTGTAGATATTTTCACAGCCCTCTTTCTAGCTCATGCAGTATACAGGTCCTTAACGGAAGGCAGGTTGGTAGCAATTATTTTTTTCTGCAGTTCTAACTATCGGTTGAAGTCTGTGTCTGTCTTGTTTTGGTTGCAGTGCCAAACCAGACAGTTATAGAGGTGCAGATGACAGACTCAATAATTCCTCTGTAGAACTTTATCAGCAGCTCCTTGGGCAGTCTGAGTTGGCGCTGTAAGAACATTCTTTGTTGTGCTTTTTTGATGATGTTTTTGTTGTTAGGTGTCCATATTAAGTCTTGAGTTATTAAAGAATCTAGAAACTTGACGTTCTCTACCGTTGATACTGTGTTGTCTAGTATTGTAAGAGGTGATAGTATAAGAGGGTTTCTCCTAAAATCTACTATCATTTCTATAGTTTTGAGTGTGTTTAGCTCAAGACTGTTCTGGCCACACCACAAGGCTAGTTGTTCAACCTCTCATCTGTATGCAGATTCATCATTGTCTTGAATGAGACCAATCACTGTTGTGTCATCAGCAAATGTCATTACTTTAACAGAGGGATCTTTTGAGATGCAGTCATTGGTATATATAGAGAAGACAAGTGGAGAGAACACACAGCTGGGTGACCCCTGTGCTAATTGTACAGGTATCTGATGTGATTTTGCCTAGCTTCACCTGCTGCTTCCTGTCTGTTAAAAAGTTTATGATCCATTTACAGGTGTGGTCAGGCACAGCCAGCTGATTTAGTTTAGTTAGACGAATATCTGGAATGATGGTATTGAATGCCGAGCTGAAGTCTACAAAAAGGACCCTTGGATAAGTCCTTGGAGATTCAAGATGTTGTAGGATGTAGTGCAGAGCCATGTTAACAGGATCATCTGCTGATCTATTTGCTCAGTAGGCAAATTACAAGGGGTCTAACAGCGGATCCGTGATAGTTTTCAGGAGGGCCAGCACTAACCTTTCAAAGATTTTCATAACTACGGATGTCAGAGCAACTGGTCTGTAGTCATTCAGTTCCTTGATGGAGGGTTTCTTCAGTACTGGGATGATAGTAGAGCATTTGAAGCAAGAAGGAACATAACACATCTCTAGTGATTTTTTTTAAAGATGAGGGTAAAGATGGGGGCCATTTGGTCAGCACAAGCTTTAAAGCAAGAAGGAGTTATCTTGTCTGGGCCTGGTGCTTTTCCAGGCTTTTGTCTATGAAATGGACCTTGCACAATGTTTTCTGTAATCACCAGAGATGGGGGCCCCAGAGGGATGGGGTCAGTTGTAGGAGGATTGGCTATTGTTGATATATCTAAGACTGGGATGGTGGAAATAGGTGACAGTGGTTTCCTCTCAAACCTACAGTAAAACACATTCAGGTCATCTGCCAGTTGCGATTTCCTTCAGCGTGGAAATGAAGCTTGCTGTAACCAGTGATATTTTAAAGAGTTTTCCACATATTTGCTGATTCATTTGTTGAGAACTGATTCCTTAGCTTTTCAGAGTAGTTTCTTTTTGCTGCTCTGATCTCCATTGTTAATACATTTCTGGCCTAGTTGTTCAGCAATCTATCTATCATCTATCTATCTATCTATCTATCTATCTATCTATCTATCTATCTATCTATCTATCTATCTATCTATCATCTATCTATCTATCTATCTATCTATCTATCTATCTATCTATCTATCTATCTATCTATCTATCTATCTATCTATCTATCTCCAAGGCTTGTCGTTACTGTATATTCACAGGTTTTTGATTGGCACACATAGGTCTTCACAAAAACTAACATATGAAGTTACAGTATCTGTGAGTTCATCCAAGTCTGCTGATTGCAAACTTTCCAATCAGTGCAGTCAAGGCAAGCCTGTAGCTTTAGCTTTGCCTCCTCAGTCCAAAACTTCACTGATTTAATTGTTGGTTTTATGGTTTTAAGCTTTTGTCTATAAACAGGTACAAGGTGAATCATACAATGATCAGAGTGTCCCACAGCTGCTCGTAGTAAAGACCGATAAGCATCTTTTCATGTTGTGTAGCAGTGGTCTAAAATATTCTTGCCTCTAGTGATCCAGTTGACGTGCTGAAAGTATTTTGGTAGCTCTTGGCTTAAGTGCTTAAGTTAGCACTTAATCCTATAGCAATTACTTCCCACAACACTGTTCACCAGATATAATTAAAATATTGCTGAACTAAAATTCACCAAATTCCCATCCAAACATGGCATTCAGGATTGTAGATCTGATTTTTTTAAAGCTGTTACTTTTTAAAAATTGTCTCAACAAAGTCTGAATTTTTCTAGATCATAAAGAAGATTGGTTGAAAACACAAAACGATCGTAAAACCAACTTGGATTCCATCTGTCTGAGCAAGAATTTAAAAAATTTAAAAAGAAAACTGGATGTACACGTGGCTAGACAGCTCTTTGTCGATGAGAACTACAAATTTATCTACTGTGAGGTGCCAAAAGTAGGCTGTTCTAACTGGAAGAAAATTGTTTTGCTACTCAAGCTCAACCTGAGTAGGGATGTCTTTGAAGTAAGCCAGGGAGAGATTCATACAACAAATCTTCTAAAGCGCTTGAGTTCTTATCCATCTAAACAACAAGCAGAATTTTTGAACTCCTTCACCAAAGTGATGTTTACCAGGCATCCTCTAGAAAGACTGGTCTCCGCTTACAGAGACAAATTTTTGCATGACGGACCTTACTATAGCATCACAGTGGCAAATATGATTAAAGCCTTGTTTAGGAAGGACAAAAACCTTACAGGGCCTGTGACCTTTCAAGAGTTTGTAAACTATGTTATGACAAGGAATGACGAACCTTTGGATGTACATTGGAAACCAATGTTCCAGTTGTGTGATCCCTGCAATATTCACTATGACGTTTTGGGAAAGTATGAGACGCTGCAGGAAGATGTCAATCATACTCTCAGCAGACTGAGAGTTTCAGAGATGGTCCGATATCCAGACAGTAAATTTTATGCACAAAGGACAAACAAGAACCTCACTACCCAATATCTAAAAGAACTGGACTGGAACCAAATACAGAAACTCATGAAACTTTATCAGATAGATTTCTCTTTATTTAATTACACTTTTACTGTTAAAATGGAAATGTCATTTTCAGGCTAAATCATACTTCTATTTTCTGGATACTTACCTTTGGGAGTAAGGCAAGAATTTGCTAGAAAAAAAAATACATTTTCTTAGGTGACACATATTTTAGAAAAAAATACATTTATTTAGGCAGCTATCTGTTTCTAAGTTGCTTCCTTAAAGATGTTTACTTGATGTCTTCACTGACTTCATTTAGATGTCAAACATTTTATTTTATTCTGTAAATTCTGCAAATTTGATTTTACTGATAACTTGCCTTACTTTAGCCCAGGTAAACCATAATTTGCTCTTTATTTACACTTCACACTATGCTATGCTACAAATCAAAGTGTCTGGATCAGTGGTGGGGTTCAAATAATTTAACAACCAGTTCTCTCTGAAATCCCAGAACCCTTTAAGAGGCGCATGGGTAAAAACCAAACTAGGGCGGCGGCGGGGGGGGGGGAGCTGCACCACGCACCTGGACTTCAACTCCCAGAATTCCTGAGCCAGCTTAGCTGGCTCAGGAATTCTGGGAGTTGAAGTCCACGAGTCATAAAAGAGCCAAGGTTGACTACCCCTGCTTTAGAGCCTGCACATCCAGGCCACTCCGAGTTTGGTAACCTACCCCCCCCCCCCGCTGGTGCAATGACCCGGCTGCCCATCCTCCTCTTCCCTTTCACTCCCCTCCTGAATCAGACTGCCATGCTGAGGAGGATGGACCTTATGCAGTCCCCCTCCGCCATTACGGAGCCGGGGGAGTGACGGCGAAAGGTTCTGCTGCCACTGCGCAACAGTCGCGTCTGCTGCTGGAGGGGCTTTCTTCGGTCCCCGTCGCCCTTGCCGCCCACGCTTCGCCCCGCAGATCACTTGCCTGGAGGCAGCAGTCTCCCCTTCTGCCAACTCCCCCGTGGCTTGCGCCGTGACCGGGGTGTGTGTGTGTGTGTGTGTGTGTGTGCAAGTCTGCTGGCTCCCTCCGTCAGCCCTGGTGCCTCTCCACCAGCCTTCCATCGCCTCGCACCTGCTTGCACGAAGCAGCAGTCCACGTGGGCTGCTTTCTTCCAGCCAAGAGAGAAAGAGAAAAAGGCGGTAGCTTCCTTCACGTCCCTGGGTGTCCTTAAGTCTTCCTTCCTTCTTTCCTTCCTTCTGCTGATCCGCACTTTCTTGCCGCCCTGCATCGGCCTCGGCCCCTGCTTCGGACGGTAAACAGAAGAGTTTTGCTCTTTTTCTCCAAGAGGCCCTTTGACATTGTCCCTCCTCCCCCCCCCTTCGCTTTTCTGCCTTAAAATCCAGAGCAGACACGTCTTCCTCCTGATCAGCTGAGGATACGGTAGCTACCGGTATGATTTCTCTAAGAAGCTGAGTGCCTGCTCTGGATTTTAAAGCAGAAAAGCAAAGGGGTGGGGAGCAATTTCAAAGGGTCTCCTGGAGAAAAAGAGCAAAGCTCTTCTGTTTGCTTTCTAAAGTGGGTGCCGAGGCTAAACCTACCCGGTGGCAGCCTCCTCCTCCTCCTCCTCCACCAACTCTCCTGTGGCACAAGCCTCCCTGCCGGCTCCCTCCGCCAGCCCTCCGTCACCACCGCACACCTGCTTACACGAGGCAGCAGCCCGTGTGGGCTGCCTTCTTCCCAGCCAAGAAAGAGAGAAACGGAGAATGGCGGCTTAATGTACCTTCCTTCGCCTCCCCCGGTGTCCCCTTAAATCTTCCTTCCTTCCTTCTTTCTGCTGATCCGCACTTTCTTGCCGCCCTGCATCGGCCTCGGCCCCTGCTTCGGACGGTAAACAGAAGAGGAGTTTTGCTCTTTTTCTCCAGGAGGCCCTTTGACATTGTCCCTCCTCCCCCCCTTCGCTTTTCTGCCTTAAAATCCAGAGCAGACGCGTTTTCCTCCTGATCAGATGAGGATACGGTAGCTAGCGGTACGATTTTTCTAAGAAGCTGAGTGCCTGCTCTGGATTTTAGCGTTCTTCCATACGAAGCGTCCTTCCTTTCCTCCCTTCTGCCGGGAGGAAAGCAGCAGAAAACGGGGCTGCCGTTTCCAGAGCGGAGAAGGGAGACGCCGGCCGATGCAGGGCGGCAAGAAAGTGTGCGCAAGAAAGTGCCGTGGCGGTGACGGAGGGCTGGCGGAGGGAGGTGGAGGGTGGGGTGGGGGGCTTGCGCAGGTTTATTATAATCGGTTTGCTGAAGTCAACAAAAAAATTAGATGTCGGTTCTGTCGAACTGGTGCGAACTGGCTGAATCCCACCACTGGTCTGGATCTCTCCATTACATTAGGTAACAAACAAGCAAATCACAGTTTAAAGAGCTGCGTGAAGGTTGACCCTCCAGTTAATGACTTGCATATTGGATATGACTAGCAAGGAAGAACATGTTGCTTATATGCTTTCACAAGCATTCTCCAGAGTCTATGTCTGTATGTGTTTGCTATTTTGTTCTCACATGTCTGTTATTGGCATATGAATTTTGTGCTTCTGAAAAATAAACTCGCCTTGAAATGTGTCTTGGCATATGAGTGGACTTTGCATGGAAGATGCATTTTACAAATTTGCATTTAAGGTATGATGGTATTAATAGGATATGAATAAGATATGAATGTCGTATTAAATATATTTCTCTTTGCTCGTCTCTCTTTTCATCCATCACAAGTCCTTCTGAACTTCCACAAAAGAGTCTCCAACTTTCAGGGACAATTCTGAAGGACATAGCTGAAGCTACAAGGAGAAAGGATTTTATTCTAGTAGTAGTCTATATAGTACTAAATCTCTAGTTATCATTACCATTAACTGGGTTAAATATTGCCTCATAGGGCAACAATTTCAGAACCAAAGTACCTCAAATAGGCTCACACACAGAATGTATCCAAAATCCAGGGACCTATGACTCTTATGGAAATTGAATTTGGGAAAGTTTGGGCTGCTTCAGTGCTACTGGCTGATAGGCTGTTGCTGTAGTCACATGATGCTCATTCTGAATGTTCTGAATGACAGTTTCCCAGCCACTTTCCCAGTCCTTTGTTCCCTACCCTACCCAGCAGCAAGGAATTGATTCAACACTTTAAAGCAGTGGTAATCAACCTGATCCCTACCGCCCACTAGTGGGCATTCCAGCTTTCATGGTGGGCGGTAGGGGTTTTATCCGATACTGAAGCACTTTCCTTTTTTTTAATTTAATTGACTTTTTAAAAATTTTTCATAGCATTATTTAAAAACATTTTCATTAGGTTTTCATAAAATTCCCCGTGATAATTTAAATTTCTGAAAATATACTATTTGTATCACCCGCGCATAAGTTTAGTTCACGTTTCATAAGTGAAACTAAATGGCGCTATAGTGCGACCGCAGACAAAAGAGCCTCGTCTCAGAATAGCTCACGCATCTCCCCCCACGCTACCCAGCTGTAACAGACAAGCAGAGCTGGTAGCCGGCGCCCCCCCAAACCCAATCCACGATGTGCGAGAGGCATGTGCAGATGACGATACATGGTGCAGGCTCTTTTGTTTGCGGTCGCACTGGTCAGTACGCAGTTAGATTTGTAAGAGTGAGCACGTGCCTACAGCTTCAAACAAAATATTGTGAGTCCATGTCTCAAAAAAAGAAATACTCTCGTGGCTATTTGCCAGAGTATCTGAAGATGGGTTTCATAGAATCTGTTGTAAATAAACAACATCCAATGTGTTTATTGTGTCATAAAACATTATCCAATGAGGCAATGAAGCCAAGTCGATTGCGAGAACATCTTTCTACAAACCATCCAAATGATAAGGACAAGCCCATTGAATATTTTCAGGAAATATATAAAAAAATTCAAAATCGTTCAACAATCATTGCATCATTTAAGAAACAACATGCAGCGAACGAAGATGGATTAATTGCTGCTTATGGCATTTCACAATTAATTGCAAAAAGTGGTAAAAGCTATAATATTGGAGAAACTGTAATAATACCCTCTATAAAAGAATTTATCTCAACAGTAATGCATCAGGATATACCTGAAATTTTAAAAACGTTGCCCCTAAGCGATAGNTCATCAGACTTCATGCTTCTATGTATGCAAAGTATAAATAAAAAGATAGATTTAACTACAGTAAGTTGTTTTATAAAGATTTATTCTGCCAAACTTAGCGAAAGTCCGACATAAAGTATTTGGTAAGTAATTATTATTATATGCTTTAACTTGCTGTAACTCTGCTTTATAAATTTTATAAAATAAAGTTACTTCCCTACTTTATAAATCATCCTTACTGTGGAACCGGTGGGTGGTTAGAAAATTTTACTACTAACAGAGATACAAAAGTGGGCGGTAGGTATGAAAAGGTTGACTACCCCTGCTTTAAAGGCTTTTAAAGAAGCAACAATTTTAAAGTGCGTGAAGAAAGGCCTGGATATTTTTATTATTTTATGTTCCCCTTCTTTGGTATACAAACACGGTCATGTATCTATATCCCGTCTTTGTTCAAGAACTTAAAGTGCATACCTAGTGCTCCACCCTCCTATATTTTTCATAACAGCCCTGTGAGGTAGGTTGAGTTGAAAAAATCACCAAGTGAGGCTGCAAATGGAATAGAAACTGTATCTCTCTATGTCAGTCAAATACATTGGCTACTATGCCTTAGTCCTCGCCTATCCTGTTTCACTTTTCAACCACCCTACTCCGAAACTGAGAATAGAGCAGCCCCTCATTCAACCACCAGAAATCCAATAGACCAGCCCTTCCCTAGTCCTCTAGTCCTCAGGAGTCACATGTTCCTTTTAAAAATTGTCTCTGACAGCTTCTACAACTCACCAGAGAAGGGATTTGGGGATTTCAAACTGTTCTGAGGTGAGAACAGCAATGTACAAAGTTGTGGAATAATTAAATTAAATTAAATTACCATCAGCATAATTAGGCCTTGCAGAAAGTGAGCAGGGATATCATGGTCAAGAGATGACACTAAACTTCACTGAGATGTGGCAGGGAGGAGGAGAGATAAGGAAATAGGGGATGAAAGAGCTACACATCTCCAGAATAACAATGGAAGGTACAGAACGAGGAGATAAGAA